ATATATATATATAAAATACATAAGTACTTGGAGAATTATTAAATGCTACACATCTAATATTAAATACATCAAGTAAGTGAGGTGAACCTCAACGTACAAAATTCAAACATTTCTAACAAGAGCAATGTAAGCCAGGAAGAACTAAAAGAAAATATGCCTTTGCCCTCAAAAACATTAATGATTAGAGAACTTTACCTTACTGTCTGACTCAGATTCTGACACGGAGCTTTCCGAAGATTTATGGGATCGGCTCTTCTTTTTCTTTCTCCTCTTCACTTGTCTCTTATCCTATATAAAACATTTTAGAAGTATTTTCTTTCTGTTTCAGAAATTTGATTTATACATTTTACTAATATGATAAACATTAATATGCAGAAATTAAAAGGACCAGTTTGTAAACATATATTTTTCCTTAATTAATATTCATAATGTAACATACCACTTTCCTAATTTAAAAGCCAAGTGATTTGAATTATATCTAACTCCAAGCAATGAGTCAAAAATCATTTCAGATTTTTAAAAAATTCTATTATTTTAAATGAACCATGTAAAATTTTAAACATTAAAAAATTAACTCAGTATTTAAAAATCTCATCATTGGGGTCTGAAGAGATGGCTCAGCGATTAAGAACACTCTGTTTTTGCAGAAGACCCAGGTTCGAATCCCAGCACCCACATGGCAGCTAACAACAGTCTGTAACTCCAGTTCCAGGGGATCTGACAGCCTCTTCTGTCCTCCGCAGACATTGCACAACACAGGTGCACTTACCATGCAGGCAATACATGCATACACATTAAAAAAAAAACAAAAAAACCCAAAAAACAACAACTACCCCAATTAAAAAAAAATCTCATCATTCCATTTATTTACATGGGTACTTTAAGTTATGGATAATCAATCAAAATCCAGAAGTAAACATATCTACTATTTCAAAACAGGATTCCTCTTGATATTAAATTCAACATTACTTCATGAACTACAAGCAGAGCTTACCTCGTCTTCAGAGTCTGAGGAGCTGCTGGAAGAATCAGAGCTTGATGAAGAAGAAGATGAATACTTGACCAAGCACAAAACAATTAAAGCTTGTGAGATGCAGGAATTATTTTCTTTTACTAAGTATCTCAAGTACTTAGTGAAATCAATCTAGTGTCTAAGAAACAGATGCCATATTCATAAGATTTAAGTATTAAAATGCAAGTCACCCCTCCCCTAAAAGCTCAATGAAGTGACAACACATGCAGTGATAACAGCAGCAACAGAGAACTCAGTAGGCTATGAGAAGGCTGACAGCTTCTCTTTCATGTCACTGAATGAATACTGCCACCCATCATAGCCACAGGACCTCCAGGATTCTTGGCTCACTTAGAGTCTAAGTTACCTTTGGCATACAGGTAAAACAAATCATTCTTACTTTTTGGGGTGGGCTCTTAATTAAAACATTTAGAAAAATAGGAAACTTTTGCTCACCCTACCAGATTTTTTCTTTTCTTTTTTCTTTCTCTAAAGGAAACAAATACAAGTCTAAGTAAATTGATGCGATTTTCAAACGTATCTATTAAGTCATATATAGCATTATTATGAAAAATCCAACTATGAGATTAAGAATAGCAATAAACTAAAAATGGAATTACCTGTCTTTTTTTGGATGAGCTCTCATTTCCACTTAGTAATTTCTCTCTGTGTTTCTCTAGCTCTTTCTTCCAATTCTGCAAAAAGGTTAGACAGCATTAGAGGCTATTGATCTCCGCCTTATTTTTTACATTATAAATATATGTGTGTATTTATGGGTGGGTATATGCAGGTGCCTACAGAGTTTGGAATGGGACATCAGATATCCAGGAGCTCAAGTTACAGGCAGTTGTGCACCTCCTGATGTGAGTGCTGAAACCTTGGGTCCTCTATAAGAACGCTGTATGCTCTTAACTGTTGAGCCATCTCTTCAGCCCCTGTTAATCCCCTTCTAACAGATTTGATAGAAAGAGACAAGGATTACTTCCTTTCTTCATCTTCTTGATACCACACACCTATCTCCGCTTCTAATTACAGTAAAAGACATTCTAAGATGGGAGTGTCTGCCATGCCTGTAGTCCAGGGAACTTGGAAGGCTGAGGCATGAGCATCATTTGCACTAAGCCTGGGCATAGCAAGGCCCCTCTCTTTAAAAACCAAACCAGGCTGAGAAGATGTCCAGAACATCTAGTTGTATTTAGCAGTTGAGTCCAGTGACGGGAGAGAGTAGACATGCAACTCAAGGAAAAGAAGGCCACCGGCGAAACTACAACGCAGCCGGTAGAGACTCTGGATTTTCCATCTGATGACGACTTTGAGTGCAATGTTCCAGAAAGGCCAAAAATCTTACCAGACTTGGAGGAGAGTACTTCATTATCAGAAGATGAGCAAGAGTGGAGGGAGGGTATTCAGAAGGTATTCAAAGAACTTGAAGGTGACATTACACAGTCCCTTCTTGCAAAGAGAAAGCAGTTACAACAGAATATAAATACTTCTTTCTAAACCCTGAATGAGAAACTTAACCATTTTCTTAAAGAACAACAAAATGAAAGGGAGAGTCTGTATTCTGAATACTCTCATATGATTCTGCCTTTGTTTGAGCAGTGGCAGAGTAATGTTCTGGAAACTGAGGAAGAAGAGGATGATATCATTGCTATGTCTTGCCAGTAAGCGCTTATTGTATTTCATGGTGGAATGGAAGTGGAAGCAAAATTTGAAGCAGTCAAAAAGTTTTCTGAGCAAGTCATACAAAGTGTCAAAATCCTTCAGAAGAATCAAAAAACTGTTGAACAAACAGAAGTGAAAGAAATGGAAAATCTGAAGAAAAAAATTGTAGAAACAACATCAAGATGTGGAAACTGTTGAAACTTGTCTTCAGTCTCTGCTAACTGAGGACTAGGAAGAAAGAATATAATCCTCCATTTCATGGTACACCTACATTGGCTACACTAACAGAGATTTTCACAGAAAGGACTACTTCTCATTTATCATTACTTTGTTACATAAAAGACCCCTAGTCTGTTTAAAAAAAAAGAAAGAAAAACCAAACCAAACAACACAACACAAAACCAAACAATCTACAGGTGCTGATCATTGACTCTATCATCAGAGTCGTCTCTGCTTTTATGGAAGAAGAGATGAAGGGATGGGCACTTTCTCACTGTGTTTGGAGAGGAGGAATAGGTATTATTATTGGTGACAAGTCCAGTTTAATTTTCGACAAAGAGGATGAGATGCTCTTTCTAGACTCTAAAAGTTGTTACTTCAGACTATGGTTGAAATACTCCATTTATGTTTGTAATCAACGTATAAAAATCACCTTGGAAATTCCAATGCAAGATGGTTAGTGCAGGGACCAGGTGACCCTAAAGATGATTTAAACTGCAAGATGGTTATTCTCTTATTTTTTGTTATTGTGTAGGCACATGAAGACAACTCTGTGGAGCTGGTTCTCTCCTTTTACCTTTACATGGGTTCTGGGGATAGAATTCAAGTCATCAGGTTTGCATAGCAAGTGTCTTTTCTCAATGAACCATCTGGTTGGTCCTCTTATTTTTACAAGAAAGTATTGATTTAAACACAAATTTGTCTTCAAATATATCACTAATACTCAAAATACAGAGCTTCCTTAACCCAAAGAACGATGCTCAAACCCTTGGTTATTAAAGTAAAACAAAATAAATTTCATTTTATTTTAAGATACCCTATCCACAAGTTGGGTAATCTCTTCAGAGGATGGTGTGATAAGAATAGGAGGTAGGAACTGGCTAGGCAGTTAGGGTAAAAAGACCCCAAAGAAAAGTAGCCAGTTTCTTGGCTAAATGTCCTTGGGCCTCTTAGCAACATACTCTGTTCCTAAGGCCAAAAATGTCAAAAGTATTTGGGAGCTTGTATCCAATCCTTAAAAGATTTTAGGTTACCTCTTCAGAGGAGGGGAATGTTAAGAGTAGCAAAAAGCCCCATTTAAATTAAAAAAAAAAGGAAAAAAGAGTACATGAAGTTATCAGAAAAAAGTAATGGGGAGATATGGGAGGAGTTAGAGGGGAGGGAGTGGGCATGGATTTGATCAAAACACCTTACATGCATGTATGAAATTCTCAATAAATTATTTTAAAAAAAGAAAAAGAGGGGCTGGAGAAATGGCTCAGCGATTAAGAACACTGACTGTTCTTGCAGAAGACCCGGGTTTGAATCCCAGCACCCACATGGCAGCTAACAACTGTCTGTAACTCCAGTCCCATGGAATCTGACAGCCTCTTCTGACCGCCGCAGGCACTACACAACACAGGTCCACTTACCAACATGCATGCAATACACACGAACACATAAAATAAAAATAATAAATAAAATACAAAGAAGGAAACTGATTAAAAAAAAAAAAGAAAAAGAAAAAGATTAGTCTATTTCTTTAAAAGAGATTATTTACAAACCTCATTCATTTTTTCTTCAAATTCAGCCAAAGCCTTGGAACCTTTCTTTTTCTTTTCTAGCTGCTCTTTTACTTCCTCCCTTAAAAAATAGAAAGTACAAATAAAATTTCAAGCATTTCAAATTAAATGGATGGACAATTACAAATGAGACAACAATATTTCTGTAAATATAATGTTCAATATTCTAATAGACCTCTATTCCAATATTGATACTGTTCAAATTTCTTTGTTCATAACCATGCTAATAATCATAATAAAGCCCCTTGGATAATGCCACTCATGTCTTTTCTAAACACAGACTGGTAAGTTAACATACCAAGCATCTGAGTATGTACATACCAAAGGCATTTTTTTTTTTTCGGTCTTTTTGAGACAGGGTCTCCCTGTAGCCCCAGCTGTCCTAGAACTCACTATATAGACCAGGCTGGCCTTGAACTCACAGAGTCCACCTGCCTCTGCTGGGATTAAAGGCGTGCACCACCATGCCCAGCCCAAAGGCATACTTTAGATAATATTTTAACTTAAGTCTTACAACAACCTAGTGAGAAATAGTAGGTACCTCCATTTTATAGATAGATTCAAGTTTAGAGAAGGCAAGAAATCCCCTAAGTTAGGTCACAGGCCTTCAGTGCTATGGAGGATCAAGAAAGGTGTATCTATCTGATTCAACTGCTATATTCTGCTACTAAGTCTCCCATGATATGAATTACCCAACCTGTGGGTTTTAGTTTTTTTAAATTTATTTTTATTTTATGTTTGAGTATTATGCCTTCATGTGTGTAAGTGCACTCCTGTTGTGCAATGCCCGAGGAGATCAGAAGAGGGCGCTGGATCCCCTGGAACTGGAGTTATGATGGTAGTTAGCTGCCATGTGGGGCTGGGAATCTCTACAAGAGCAGCCAGTGCTCTTAACTGCTGAGCCATCTCTCCAGCCCCTCAACCTGGGGGTTTTAAAGATGTCTGACACATAGATAAAAATGCTAGATTCAGCATTTCCCCTTTAAATTTCATCCTCTCTTACCATTTTAAAGGTAAAATAATACTTCATTTTGAGAAATTTATTTTCTGATTTGCTACAGCAGTTAACAACAGCACTTATACACAGAGTAAAAAGTACATGAACATTTGGCCTGAAAGCAAAATTCCCTTTAACACAATAAGCATACATCTCAACCACAGTTGCCTGGCTTTCAGGGTACTCAAGAGGGACCTTGCAGCAGGTCATATGTCACTTCAGGACTGCAGTAGTAAGGAAAAAAGTTCAATAATAATAATAAGGCCTGCACCATGGCAGTTTAGTTACAGATGAGAGCTATTTGCTGAGTTTTTCTGATTTACTACAAAGTCAGAAAAAAAAAAAGAAATCCTGGAAACTCCTCTATATTGTCCTTCGTAACATCTAAGTGAATCTCAGTGACAGCCACAATCAATCAAACTGCCTATTCTGAATAGTGTAGAACTCTGCAAAATGAAATGAGAATTTGTTTAGAGGCAAGAGTGGCAGGAAAGGTTACCTGGACCAGATTCTCAAATGTGTATTTTATGTTTAGGCATGCAATTCATACATTCAAGACAAATCTATATTGTCCTTCGTAACATCTAAGTGAATCTCAGTGACAGCCACAATCAATCAAACTGCCTATTCTGAATAGTGTAGAACTCTGCAAAATGAAATGAGAATTTGTTTAGAGGCAAGAGTGGCAGGAAAGGTTACCTGGACCAGATTCTCAAATGTGTATTTTATGTTTAGGCATGCAATTCATACATTCAAGACAAATCATGGGTTACACATTACTTTAAAAATCAGTCATCTGGAAGCTGATTGGCAATCAACAAAAGCAGTAAGAGTAAACTTTAAAAAGTTTATAAAAAGCTTATAGGTAAATTGTTTGAGAAATACCAGGTAGGTCTTGGTCGATTCAGATAATCCTGGATTGTTGGCCCTGAAGACTGGACTGGACCCCGTGATCTGGCCATTGCTATTGGGTTCATGTAGGCCTTGAGGAAAGAACAAAAATTAATTCCCTTTTATTACAAAATCAGCTTAATGCTTTATTGAAAGCTTTAAATGTTTGTGAAATAAGTAGTTATTTCATATAACACGTGCTGCTGTTGCTTTACCAGAGATTTGATGAAATAATGACACTTCTTACCTACTGAAGGCTTTTATAGTGATTTCCTAAAAGCCAGTGAAGGTGATGACACTATGCTCACTGAGAAATTAAGAAGCTCACATGAATGCATTTCTCAACTCTCACAAAGAAGCTCCCTTACACAACAGATGGTAATTAAACAAAAACCCACAACAGGACAATTATTATATATATAAAAGAATACATTAAATTGGGCAGGGGGCAGTAAAGGGAGGTACAGATTTGGGGGGGGGGAATCTAAATACCATCAAATTATATTGTATGAAATTTGAAAAAGTTCAATAAATTTTTTTTAAAAAAGAAGCTCACTTCAAAAGAAGCAAAAGAGATCTAAGTCTGCTATTGTTTTTTCTTCTATCCTAGAAAATACTGTGCCATATTAATGGCAAATTTATTCTTAAATTAATGTTAAAAATTAAATTACCAATAGGTTAACAACAACAAAAAATAGAACTTCATTAAAAAAAAGTAAAAATATGGCCACTCATGATGGCACATACTTGTAAATTGCAGCACTTGGGAGCCAGAGGCAGGAGGATCAAGAATTCAAGGATAGCTTTGACTACACGATATTCTGTCTCAAAAGAACAAAGACAAAAATCCAAAATAACTTAAAAACTTTCCTCTTGGGTGTTTAAGGCAAGAAAGGACATTATTTTAAAAAAAAAATGAAAAGACAATTCACAGAATGGAAACTACCTACAAATCATATATCTGATGAGATTAGTGCCCAAAATACATAAAGAACCACTACAACTCAACAACAAAACCATTAATCCAATTGAAAAATGAGCAAAGATTGCCCTGCATGGTGGCACATGCCTTTAATCCCACCACTAGGGAGGCAGAGGCAAAAGATCTCTGTGAGTTCAAGGCCAGCCTGGTCTACATAGAGTTCCAGGCCAGCTGGGGCTATAGGGAATTAATGGAATTAACGGAATTAAAGGAATGGTCAATAAGACCAAAAAACAAAAGAGCAAAGGTACTAAATCACCTTCTCCAAAGATACACAATGTCCAAGAACCACATGAAAGAATGCTTAGTATCACTAGGGAAACTGAAATAAAAACCAAAAACTCATGCCATTTCATATCCATTAAGATGGATATTATCAAAGAAACAGAAAATCACAAGGACCTGTAAAAATGGGAAATTAGAACCCTTTGTACATTGCTGGTGAGAGTATAAAATTAAGTAAGTTCCCATGGGAAATACCTTGGTGGATTCCTAACAGATTACACACAGAATCACTACATGAACCACAATTCCATTTGTACGTACTACATATATCCAAAGGACTGAAAGCAAAGATTCAAATGAACATCCATGTTCATATCAGTAGTATTCAAAACAGTCAAAAGGCAGAATGAGAAAAATATGAATGGCTAAACAAATGTCACATTCCCCGCCACACAGTGGTGTTCACAATGCAAAAACCACATTATGGTGATGCTTGAAAATTCTCTCAGAACTATGTTCTCAAACAGGATTAGCTATTTTGATGAAACAGCATCTCCAACATGAAATTGGGAAGTAAAAGTCAGATCCTTATCTGAGGATTATGTCCCTTATGACCCCTATCACACACACAACCACAAAGAGATGTTACCAATTTAGTCCCATGTATTGTTTGCAACACAAATGGGAAAGCCTTCATGTCTTTGTCATTTACAATGAGTATCAAGGCTGTTTGAATACACAAAACATCCACACATACATTCATACATTGGTTTTGGGTCAAGGGCAGGGAAGGGTCATGAGGAATTAAAGCTCTATGCTTTAGGTTACAAGAGGAGTTCAAAGCCTAGTAGATTTGCTTACATTATAAACAAGCTAAAACAGGATTAACTTTTTGGTTGTAAGGTTAAGCAAAGACCTTTATCCAGCATATGCCCATATTGTAAAAGTCATTCCTATCCTCTACTCCACTCAGCCTTAAAAAGGAATGGGATTATAATATTATAATATGGATGAGCCTTGAAAACAGCTATGCTAAGTGAGGTAAGACAAATGTGAAAGGACAAATTTACAGCCACACTTCAGAGCAGTACCCATAAGGAGCAAGTTCAGAAAGACAGAAAGCAGAATAAAGGTTACCAGGAGATGAAGAGAGGAGAAGCTTGAAAGTTATTGGCACACAGTTTCTTATTTTGGATTATGAAAGTTCTGGAAATAGTGATGGTGGCTGTAGAGCACTGTGAATATACTTCAATGCTACTGAACTAGACTTGAAAATAGTAAA